GTTCAAAAAGCGACCAGTCATTTGCTAGGGTTTTGATGGCCTTCAAGAGCTAAAGCAATCTTGTTATTGTGGGTTAGAATCGAGGATAGTTTGCTCTAGCATTTACTTATTTCCAGGATTTATGGTATAGAGACCAATTCAAAAATGTGAAGTTTAAGTTTCTTGACAACCGTCTTCTTTGGGAATTCCCTACGGTTCTTTATCGTTTTAGGTGTCATGGAAAATCCTTAATCTGCTCTTTCAAACAGAGGCCAAATGAGAAAATCCGTTGAGTCAAAAATTTAGGGCATTAAAATTTGAGAAGCTTGAAAACAAAACTTTGCACCAACATAGAGTTCCACATTTTTGAGAATGCCCATTCAGCCTTCATAGATCTCACGATTTAGATGGGGACTTTGGTTAAAACTGCTCAAATCGTAGGACTTTCATTTTGTAGCGCAGGCAATGATTACAAATATGGTACAAGATAGCTCGGTTCAGGTTATCTGACTGATTAGCTCGGCGAACGCATTAGGAGGTTATGAAGAACCAATAAAGTTCATATTTCTTAAAACCATATCAAATTTGCGTTATTATTTCATTGCATATTTGCAAATATTGTCCAGTTCACTAACCGGCCTCCTCCAGAATCTCAGAAAGGAAAGCCGAAACCTCATCCCCGCAATCGAGACCATCACTTATTTGCTCATGGAACAGCCTAGACCATTTTTATCAACACTGTAGGGTGCAAACAAGTAATAAACGCGACAGACTTCGCAGTTCTCACATCACGACGTTGTAAGACCTCATCGATATGAACTTCTACACATTTCTCTCCATACTTCAAAGTTAGAACGCGGTCTTGCACATCAGTTTCAATCATAACCAGGCATGGTTTTTGTCTGCCAGTGTAGAACCTGAGTAATTATCGTAGTGTTGGAGATAATTGGAAAGGAACTTTTCTCTTACTTTCCATCTTTGCCGTTGATAATAATGAAATTCCTATCTGTAACTTCCCCAGAGACTGGACCTGTCTCCGTGCAGTAAATGGAGAACACCTAGGCGGGAGAAATGATGAAAAAAATTATTCAGACAATAGAAAATTCCGGAAAACGAAACACGAAAGTGGATGTAAACTTCTCCAACTTCAAATTTGCTCTATCATCAGCTTCAAATGCAAAGATAAGATGATTTATTCAGCCTAGCAAGGAAGTTATGGAACCAACCTTCTTTCCCTTGCATGACTTTACAGGATAGACATAGAGCGCTTTAACTGTTCCAACAGGAATCAGTGGCGATTGTCGGTTGTGCATATAGCTATATAATATTCGAACAGTCTAAAATAAAAAAATCATCTAGAGCTTTCACAATAGCATATGTCGTATTAACTTATAATAGAAGATTTTATTAACCAATTCTTTCAGAACCAGTGAAGGCATTTGTTACACAACTTTGCGTAAATTCCTCTGTAAAGAGTAAAAATAAGAACTCACATTGTAAGCGATTATCGACGAGCCAACGATGCCAATAAGGAGCTTCTTGTCATCAATCATTTCGTGACAATGGAAAGCAATATTCTTACTTGTAATGCAGAAACGAGGTGAGACAATACGTCGCACAAGTAAACAATAGTTGCTTCCCTTCAAAACATCTGCACATGCTATCAACCGACGATCGATCAAAAATAAGAACATTGTTAACAATATATCAGTGTTGTAAAGAGAGGAAAATCAACAATAATTATCATCAAACAAATCTTTGCAAAAACTTGATATTATAAAATGGCGCTTTTGTAATTTGCGTGGACTAATGACCACGGATTTTATCGAAAGTAAGCAATTGAACGATTTGTAGAGAAAGCTGTTTTCTGCTAAATTTCTAACATAAACCCAAAAATCACATACAATATTTGCTAGTGTTCAAAAGTATTAACCCTGCATGGTGGGGATTTAAAAGTCGTTTTTCGCATTTCCACAGAAGATTGCTCAAGTGCTTGAAGAAGTCCAAAGTCTTTTCTGGTGTAGTTCTACTTTTCCTAGTATCAATCTTACTGTCAAGATCTTACGTAGTACAGCGAGATAGCAAAGATCGTTTCTTTATGAAGGAAACGCTCATAGCACAATGCAAATAGAGGCTTTTCAACTTCAGCGTTCACCCTAATTTTGGTGAGTCCTTGAACTGTTCGCACGTAGGACCAGCTGACGAGCGCAATGCCCTAGGCTATTTTGTAGGCTCAATACTTTCTTGAAATTCGGAAATGGCCTGAACTCATTATTTATTGCAGCTTTCTCAGCCGACGAATGCCGTCATTCTGCTTGTTTGAAGATAAATTGTAATGACACGTGTTGGAAAAAAGATCTTTTAATCTTATACAACTTTCTAGAGTTAACAGCCTGTAATTGACAAAGGAGAGATACTAAGTCGCAATAGCGATCAAAAGAGAGATGTATACTGTAAGATGCAGTTTAAAACGCCGGTCCAAATCTGCCTTTGGTATCTGCAAAGCGTCTCTTTAGAAGAAGTTTGAAAAACCTTCCTCTGCCAAAACCGCCTTTACAGCCTGTCAATATTGACTTGAATATCAGTTTCTATTCAAAACAAAACGCAGAGTTAACATTTGATAAAACACCATAACAACAATATTCAGCTCATGAGCTGCTGTTCTGGATTGAAGCAGAACTTTTAAACATTTCCTACAGGTCTTCCAATCCATTTTTGGAGGCGAAAAAACGATCATAACTTCTTTCAGAGTAGCTTAGCAAAGATGGACAACAGAGTTGGAATCAAGACTACAAACTGCAACTACCAAAATATATTACTTTTTTGGTTGCTTCGATTAACTATCCTTTTTTTGAGCATAAGGAACTTTATCAAGAGTCCAAAGTAGGGTCGACTTCACTTCAAAAAAACGTCACACAGTTTTTTCTGCGAAAACAGTGGGAAAAGCAAGTTGATGGAGGGAAACGAGTGAAAAAAATTCAAAATGGATTGCCAATGCATGATGTTTTATAATTGCCTCCTTTAAACTCCCAGTTCGGTTGAGCTTGAAGATGTCGCACTAAAGGGCACACGGTATATTGTGGTATGTGTTGTATGTTGTACGCTCGTTAAAGGACTGCATCCTTCATAGCAGTCGTTGGAGTTTCCGTAGCCGTAGCAATAAAAGCGCCTTGAGAGCTAGTATATGGGGAAAGTTTGGCCTTCTGCTTGCCAAGGTGCTCCCCGCACCTCAGGGGCGCTTCCTTTTAAAATCTGATCTTTTAGTTGTATGTAAAAGTGATTATCTTTTATAATATGAACTGTTAAATATCATTTCAAGTATTAACCATGAAATGTCTCACAACATCTGTGCGGACTTTCATACTCAGCATGCTTGTAATTATTATATGTAAATTCTCCTTGCATTTCTTGCTCTTTCGCCCGTTTCTATATTATCGCTAATTCCTTTGATTGTCAACCTTTCTTGTTTCATATATCTTATTTTATTGTACACTTCATGGGCCTAACAACTCATAAATCAATAGTTCAGCAGTCAGATCATTTTTCGATAATTGGCTACGTATTTGGCGGTGTCTGCTTCCACCCATATTTGAAGATATCATTGTCTACCAGAAATGTGAATCCAAAATTTATGACATTGGCATAAAAGGCAGGGATGTCTAGTCTAGAGTCATTTAGATAGGTACTATCTTCCTTAGGTTTGTTATTTGTCAATAAACGAAATTCTATCTGTCATGGCAACAATATTTGGTTTATAAAAGAACTTTGAATAAATCCGATAAGTTTAGTAAGTTTCAAAAAAACTGCGAGAACTTCACGCTAATATTCTTCAACGTGCAGATAAATCAGAACAAATGGAAAAAGGCGTCTGAAGTTTTGCGTACACAGAAGCAAGCTCTAAGTATCTAACCGCTCAATGTTAGAGGTACGGGTAAGTTGTCGCTTTGTTTGATCTTCAAGGCGCTAAAAACAACTTATTTCAGTCAACCTTCCTACTTTAAGGGGAGGTTAT